AGACCTTAAAAACCGAGGCCCCGTGTCACGGCAGGCGTTGGCACGATAAAGATCCCTCACTGCTCAATGGCCGTAAGTGCCGAGTAAAGGTCAAAATTTGAAGCCCTTCACCGGTATATGGTGACGTCTCTATATGAGTGAAAAATTCTCGATTGGGACGTAAAAACAACATACAATCCATGCAAGTTTGGTCAACATAGGACTTATATTTACTTGGAATCGAGATCTGCTCAAAAACTTTAACCTGCTCCAAAAACATTAACCTGGTTCTTTAGCTGAAATTGCGTAGCACCTGAAACCTTGACTGGTACAATGAAACACACTGCAAGCACCTCTGATTGATAAAGGGCATAGAAATACTTGAAAAGAAATCTGCTCCAAACACTTTAACTTTGGACGCCGACACCGACGCCGAGGGTATTACATAATCTCCCCCAAATTTGTTGAGGTGAGCTAAAAATCTTAAAAATGGAGGAAATAAATATTCCTCAAAAATGCAAGAATTCCACAGAGATAATTTCTTTTCTTCAAGTTGATCGTTCACTAAATTTACATTATTTTATATATAAAAAAGAAAGATTTTTGTAAAAAAAATCATGTACCAGGTATATAAATACCAGCTTTATATAAATCTCAAAGTCAAAGGAACTTTTCAGAAAAAGTAAAGAGTACCTTAGCAGTACACTTATTTGGTTGTAACTTTTGTAACGTACGGCTAATGTAAATTCAGAGTATCGTATATTTATCAGATTCTCGGGAAAGAAGTTACCGACAGTTTTAGTACTATTTTTGGCAGGAAAAGTCACTTTGACGAGAGAGAATACATGTATTTAGATTTGCTGGAGAAAGCAAGGGAAGGTTAGGATGGATATTTCTTTCTTCTTTGAATTAAAGTATTGGGCAACTCTATTTTGATTGAAGAAATACAAGCCTTTAGATTGCTTTAATTCGACTGATAAAACACAGTCGAATGGATTTCTTATTTTACATACATTAGATATAACTCAAACCTTCTGTCAAGATAAATTTCATATCTAATGTTAATGAACAAATATAGTTCTTGTGGCTTAACATAAATACACACATTATCAAATTTATAGATAATGAACACGTCGTAGATAAGACACAATTACACACACACATGAGTTGTTAACACTATACACACAACTCAAACACAAATGCAAATTTAAAATTGCCATTTGCTACTTTACGGACAAACTATTATGACGGAAATTCTACACCGTACAAATGAAAACTCAAATACTTATTTCTATACATAAAATTCAAATTTAACAAAAAAGACATTCTGAAAACGTTTAAGGTTTGAATGGTAACTGGGTTTCTTGGGACAAATAAATGAAATATGGAAAATAAACCTTACCTCAAAAAAAGTGGGACCTTACACCGTGTAACAATAGAAAAGCAGAGCAAGCACAGCAAGTAATACGTACTCTTTGGACTGGCGTTTAATAAGTTAAATTTAATGAACTAGCGGGTTCTAACTAAGGTCCAGTGAATTGTGGTTCAATAAATGATATTGACAATAATACTCAGTTTAAAAAGAAAGGACACCTCACAGGATATTTACACGGAATTTAAATGTACTTACAAATGTATGACAAATGATTTTAATGTGACAGGTACCCGCTTTTGCAAATAAAGTATTAATGAATAAGTTGATTTAAAATTCTTCTTTTCATTCATAACCTTAAACATGTAAACAATCTACAATACTTCCGAAGTTCATTCTAAAATTTCTTAATATACTTTCCTAGATATGCTGATATTAAATCCAAAATTAGCATTAAAAATGCTCTAAAGGAATTATGATACTCTTCCTTGATATTCGAAATGCAAACCCTTTGATGACTCAACATGATGAATTTGACTCAAGCACCCCCATTTTTTCCTCATGTAGCTCTCCAGATATCATTTCTGATTTCTGTTTTAGTTCATCTGCTCAAGATACCATACAGATTAATACAGATTGATTATATACCAAGAATAATTTCATCGTATTCATAAATTCTTAAGCGCATTTCAAAATCTTGTTGAAAGCATTTTTAGTGAGGAATCTTCAGATAATTTACGTATTACTGTCTACAAAGAAAAGAATGTTAATCTGAAACTCTACGGAAGAAACAGAACAAAATGAACTGTTATTTGTTGTTTAACGTCCCTCTGGTGGATATACTGAAAGAAAAAAAATGCCTACCTAAATATATAAGGTAATCACTTATTACTTTAGGATACAATGATAGCCAAATACGATATGTGTAATATTTTATTCATTATTGTCATTTATCAAGGCTAGATATCGAATCAAAAATTATTTTACCACCACATTTATTGACTAGAGAGAGTAGGGAAATGAATTTTAAAATTTCAAAAAGTTGGAAAGTCAATATCGCGCGTATCGTCATTTCTTATTTATAGCAGCTGGTATTATTTTGAGCATAAAATTGATCAGATAATTGATTCTTCAAATAAGGGGTGAAATTTCGCTCCTCCATAGCTGGCTCAGGTCATGGTTGTGTTTGAAATCGGATTTCAAAGTCAAATATTCTTCGATCCATTTTGTTCCATTATTAACTTGCTGGAGACAATTTGGCACTAAATGGCAACCAGTCTCAGTCCGTTCGTTGCTGACCACAAGGAAATCTTGACAAATCCTAGCAACGTGCATTATGTTAAATAGCCTGGACATAAATTTTAAGTTAATATTTTCTCAAATTTTCTATATAATATCATGACATATGTTGCTATAGCATTTCACACGGAAATATGATAAAACTTATCTTATCTGGAAATTATTGAAACTATGAATTTCGGGAAGCGTTTGATTAACACATTCTTGAACTATCACAAAGTTAACTTTAATCCTCAATACTTAAGAAAAGGAGAAATTTTGATGTGTATTAATGAAAAATATGAAAACTATAATCTAGAAAATTGAGAATAGAAATGTGAAAAAGCAGTCAGTGTGTGCTCAATAAACTGTTTTGCAAACAGGGCACGAGCTCTGTTATTAGTCCCCTACCAGTGAAACCGGAGGGGACTATAGGTTTCCTCTGAGTCTGTCCGTCCGTCTGCCTGTCTGTCCTCTGTCTGTCTGTCAGTCTGTCCCACTTGGTTTTCCGCTCTTTTTTTCCTTAACGCTTGCAGATATTGAGCTGATTTTTGGTATGTGAGTGTATCTTGATGAGTTACAGTTCAAGTTTGCATTTCGTTTCACTTCATTGATTTTTGACGGAATTATGACCTTTTCAATTTTTAAGGGTTTTCCGCAATTCTTTTCTTAACGCTTGCATAAATTGAGCTGATTTTTGGTATGTAACTTTACCTTGATGAGTTATAGATCAAGTTTGCATTTCGTTCCGTTTCAATGATTTTTAACGGAATTATGGCATTTTAAATTTTTAACGGGAACCAGATTACACTTGCCGGTAGGGGACTAGTATTGCTAATGCAATACTCTCAGGATGCTTGTTGTTAATATGTTTACGTTTCACCGGGTGTGTTCAATTTGTTAAACTCTGCACAAATCAATGAGCACGGACTGACATTATTGGTGAGTTGGTTTTGCTTTTTCACATTTCTACTCTCAGTTTTCTTTATTATAGTTTTAATATTTTTTATTAATACACAATCGCCGAAAAAAACTGGTATTTCGTTTGATTGACATACCCTTGCCCTTTCACATAGTAAACTTTATCCTTAATGCTTACCATTTCAGTGAAATATCTTTTATGAGTAAAGAAAATCGTTGTTTGGGCATAAAAGATAGTATTGAATTGGGTTAATGTCCTCGCGCCTGAAGAAAAATCCCCCCTTTCACCTTCAGCCTAAGTCTATGTAATGTGAAAAAACTCTTTCTAAATTTTATTTGTCCATGTTTGCTCTGCTCCCGATTTGTATTGTTTAAATGGACTTGAATACTGTTTGTTATCTCCATATTTTATCATGGAATAAGTAGTGTATATCTACCTAAATCCAAAAGTATTGGACTATATTAGAACAGTTCGGGTTCTCAATTAAAGAATATTTTTTTGGCATTTATGCCACGTTAGCTTACCTGAGCTGAAAGCTCAAGTGAGCTTTTCTGATCGGATATTTTCCGGCATCCGTCTGATCGTCTGTGTATACACTTATTAAAATTTCAACTTCTTCTGAAGAACAAAAGGGCCTATTTCAACCAAACCTGCCAAAAAGCATCGTTGGGTGAAGGGGATTCATGTTTGCTCAAATGAAGGGCCATGGCCTTTTTCAAGGGGAAATATTTCCAGAATTAGTGAAAATGTCTTGGCATCTTTTACTTTTTCCTCAAGAACCAAGGTCCAGAAAAGTTTAAACTCATATGAAATCTTAAATACATAGTGTCATACGGGCGGCTGATGATTCATATTGAAAAAAAAGAACGAAAATGATTCATTAAAAAAAACCCGAAAAACTTTTAATACTAGTACTTGATTGCGGTATATAAGTTCGTTACCGTATTCCTTCTCTTAATGTATACACAAAAGCTTCAATTGATATGGTTGATATTAGAAAAACATCAATATGATACAAAATATTTGAATTGTAATTTCTCAATTATTAGCATTTAGAGTAAAAATCAATACTTTATACGGTCTCTTGCGCAACGAATTCAATCAACAGTAATGCAGTGACACCAAACAACTGCTTGATGCAGAAAAAGAAGTATGTTTAGCTGCGTAACATACCATATGAATTATATTTAGACATTCTGATTTTTTATATCCCCGCAAACTTATACAATGCCTATATTAAACAATGCTAAACCAAAAATGTGTTTCGAAGTTACCCGTCATGAGGATAAACCTAGAAATCTACTTTTTATCAAATTCAACAGCCTTGTCCACACACTTGTCAAATGTCCAACAATGGAATTCAGTATTGCTTTTTTGTAATATAACTCATTGCCTTGGTTATAATCATTAATTTTTATGTCCTTACGTTTCTTTCATTAAATCAACGAAATGTTATTAAATGCAGGTAATGATCTATCTCGTGTTCCAGACATATGCATTAGCTTTATGCTTTTTGCTGAACAGGAATTTTATCACCAGGTTTTAAATACCTTGGTTAACAACACATAATTAAAAATACTTCATTCAGATCACAAAATAATGCTGATACCAAGAACACTCAGATAGGCATGACGGGGAAAGTGATCAATTCTCTGTATATGATAATAAACTTTGAAAAAAAATTATATTTAAAAATTAATAATATTGTCATCAAATACCTTGAAATGAGATGAAAACCCTTTTGAAAGATATCGATTATCACAATGATCGGCAACTTTTGATACGTTGATATGCCATCGATAAAGGGATTTTTATAGACCACAGATAAATAGAGAGATTCCTGTTTTTGTGGCGATATTCAGCAGAAAGAATAGCGAGATATGAAAATCGTAGAGAACTTTATATTTCTTGCTAATATATTCTTACTTATATTAGGACATTTACAAGACGGATATTCTAAATTGAAATACGGTTACAGGTTGGATAGAAAAATGATTAACTCTTTCACTGGGTATAGTATTCTAGATTGTGTAGAAGAGTGCCTAAGGACCACGCGATGTAAGTCTGTTAGTTATTATAAAGGAGCAAATTACTGTGAAATTAATTATGAAAACAAAACAACTGCTCCAGATAGATACGAACAGGACACAGGGTGGATTTATAGCGAGAAAGAACATTGGGACAAGGTATATTGTTATTATTCAATATTGAAAATGATTTTTATAATCTTTGTATTGTGAGCATATACAGTACAACTAAGTTACAAGAAAGTCACTTAGATTTTTTTCATGTTTATAAATCCTGTACATCCATGTAAGTAATTAAATTCAAAGTCTTCTACATGATTTATTAATGCTAAATGATAACCGATATTTCCTTATATAAGGGTTATTTAAACAAGAATTTTAGAAGTAAATTAGCAAAACTTTGGCGACATTCAAAACTCGGTGCAATTAATTATAAAGATGTAATTTCTCACAGCTGCATTTCTTGCAAATGTCTGAAATAAGATACTAAGTTCATTCAACACTTTTGTTTGTTTTGTTTTCGTATTTTTGAGATTTTTTAAAAAATTGTGTCTCAGCTAATTGCCGGTGGAAGGCTTCAAATATAGATATATACTGGGTACTAATGGCCACTTATGGTGAGTGAGGGACCATTTTTGTGCCAACACCGACTGCGACGTACGATCGATCTCGATTTATAGGGGCCAAAGAACCAGTCTCCACTTCACGTAGTGGGGTTCGAATTGCACAAGAATTTATTCCTTAACTATTGAGCCACACAGGCGACTCGGTGAACACCGAGGTTGTGTAGATATTTATTTCACCCAGAGTTGAATTTAATATATGAGTAATTTAGTGCCAACGGCGAATCATTTTGCAAAAGCCCTAAGATATATGTTGCAATTTGCACGACCACAGCAAAAAAAAAAAAAAAAAAAAAACAAAACAAAATAACAAAATATGTGAAAAGGATACTATTTGAAATGTAATTAAATCTCAATGTTTTATTTATTCAAAACGTTTAAAAGTATTCCGAATTGGTATAAGTGGTGAGTATGTAAGGTGCCCCTCAATTTACATGGAAATGTGAAAAATTTCCTGGTGTAGCATTTCCAAGGCTTTGGGTTAAGCGGTATATATGTTTAAGAAAGATGTACTGATTTGTATCCATAGCTTTTGCCATTAATATGCTTTATAGAGTTTTTGTTGCATATACATTCCTTAAAATTCATCTTAATTCAATGATAAACGTATATGTGTTTTTTGTAGTTTTGGCAAATATTATAAATATTTTTATCGAAAGACATATGTTTTATCCTCTTTTGATACTCTTTATACTTTATACTGTTATTTTCTGTACTGTTTTCTTCGGGCGGGTCAGCTGCATAGCTGCATTGTGAACGCCAGTTTCAGAATTTACCAAGTTAAATCTGCAGTACGTGTAAACGAAGTTTATGGTAATAATGACTGCAATTATTAGTTATGTTTTTTTTCTCTTTTTTTAATTTTTTATTACCGAGTCGTAAGGCATCGATGCTGATACAGCTATGGTGACTTTATAAATAAGTGTAAAAACCTGTGTAAAATCCATATACCTGTTTTCTTTTCCTTAAAATGCACAATGAAAATTAAATGCTGCTTTAATAAAGTTTATTTTTCTATGCTAAAATACGGAATTTTCAACATGTCCAATAAGCATTTAAAAAACAAAATTGTACTTAAAAACTTTGCTGTTAAAGAATGAAGAAGTATTTCAGTTAAGGACATACATTTCCATGATGTGTTTTATGTTATACATTGTATGGACCTAATACCCGACAGTACAGGAAACAATCTCTCTTTCTGTGAGTCTCGTGAAGGAAATCTTAAAAAACAATAAAATCCTGACACTTATTGTTTTTTCTTTCTATCTGCTGAACAATAATGACACATGTACCAACTTTCCGAAATTTAATAATTACAATTTGTTATTGAATGTATAGCATATTGTTTAACATTTTTAAAATAAAAAAAAAATCATTCTCCTTGCAGAACCAATTTAAAAAGAGCCCATGTATACAAACACAACTTAAAAAAGAGGCAATTTTGAATGTGAAGTCAAGAGTTTTAACGGATATCTGATAAATATATATCAGATATCACATAGATTTATGGCGTTTTTAGAAACCCTGCAAGTCTGCAGAAAATACGTTCATGTTCATCATAATGATTCAAAGAAAGAGTCACGTTTTAACATATCCGAAATGTTTCTTACTAAAAGTCCGCTGTTTTCACTGAAAATAATGGACATACATTCTTCTATTGCCATAGAAAAGAGATCCACCCTAAACATATATGTTTAGGACTTTTTTTAATCATTATCCATTAGTTTGAAAGGAGTTGAAAACTATCAAGGCTTATTCTAAGCATTATTCAACTGTAATAAATGCATATATCCACAAAAGAAATATGCACATGCCTACCACGTGCTCCGTGGAATATGACTGAGGAAACTCGAGTGATAAACAGGACCGTTTTCCCGGTTTGCGAGAGTGGAGTTAAAATCGCGTTTTGTCATTAGTCATAAGACGCAATGCAGCAATAAAAAAGAGTAAGTTATATAACATAAGGACTATGACTTAGAAATGCCATGAAATGTCTGATTACGGTCGAATTTATTCTTTAAAAAAAAGAAGTGTTATTTAAACTCTGTGTGAAAGAGTAATGGCGGACATCATGAACGCATCGCCTGAAGGAGACCACCATATGAAAAAGAATTTCAAGAATTATGCATTATGGAAAGAAAAAAGGAAAGGTTGTAGCCATATTATAAATTAATCGATTTGGCATCATTTTCATTGCATATTTCATCTCCTGAATGCTGCAGCTGTGCATTTCTAACACGATTAATTTTCCCCAAATACAAACAATAGAAAAAAAATTATTTACTTATTTTGGTCTCTAACAGTAGGTAATAAGTGCATTAGCATGCTGGGTAACTCTGCGCTACGTTGGTACTGCATTAAGTGCATTCTTAGTATTTCTTATTTAAGCCCAGATAGGTCCAAGATGGCTTGTACATTCCCCTTAATGTCTTCACTTTCTATAAAAACTAATCGATGAAAGACAAAATGTAAAATATTTCAAAATTTTAAAGTCTACTTTCTTTTTCACAGAATATCACAGGAGCTTGTATGAATGCAAATTGCTTGGACAATCAGAAATGTAATTCGTTGCCATTCGGTAAATATGAATGCATTCCGTCAGGTAGGTAACAAGTAATTGGACAAAAAATGAATTCTAGACTGTAATTTATTCAACCGTTACTAAATGGTTTACAGTTACAAAAAAAAACTTATTTATAGTTGTTTTTGTTTTTTTTAGATTTAAGGTCTTGATTTATCTAAATCCTTTGTATATCAATTAATCTTTTGGAATAATCTCTGAAAATGCACACATTTCCTATTAATGTAAAAATATTACAGGTCAGAGATGAAACTCTTTTAAAATCAGACAAAAATACTTTGAATCACTCTTGATAAACTTTGATATTATGATCTACTATAGTAAAACTGTAGTACTTAACTTTAATTCTTTTATTTACAATAGTAAAAATTATGATACATTGTTTAACTATAGTAAAAACTGTGATTATCTGTAGTAAACTAAGTAAACAAAAGTAAATGATATTTTTATTAAGAATTTTGCTGGGATATGCGTGTTTATTTTTGTTCTTTAATTACTCTAAGAAACTTTATGGAACCACTTAAATGAATTCTGTTTTGGTTCACACTGAGAGTGATCCTTTGCAAATCCTCAACTTTCGTACCATGAAGGAGCTTTTGAGGCTGTTCTTAATTAACCATAATGGCTAATTTTTAGTAAGAAATTGTATTCAATGCAGAAGGATATTTAAATTATTAAAAATAAAATTTGAATTAAATTATTGAAATAGAAATTAAAACCATTTTTTTTTAAATGTGTATCTGGAAAAACTATTAAAATATCTCTGAAAATAAATATATGAAATGTTAACTGCTGGATTAAATTAAGTTTCTATAAGCAAAGAACAAACAATGACAATATGTTGCCACAATGACAGGCGTCGGAATATAAAAAAAAGAAAAACAGGAATTAGGCACGTCTATTGTAACTTCGGGTGTCTTCAAGTAAGGAAGGCTATAAAGGAGATAATTTTTGCATCTTCTTATAAATACAAGTTTTCTTTATTAGTGACCCCTCCCTTCCTTGAATCACAAAAAAAAGAAAGAAAGAAAAACATTCTCACTAGGATTTCGTGGACTCTTTATTGCTATTTTGTATTTTTGTATTCCCGATGACAATTTCAGATTAAAAAAAAAGATCAATCATCAATCGACTCAAATTTCGAGATAATACTTGTTATCTTGGTTTATCCGTTATTTCGTTTTCTTCTTCATCAAACTCCTCTTACATTTGAAACAGTAGCTAGTTATTATTCCCCTACCGGTGAAACTGGAGGGGACTATAGGTTTCCTCTGAGTCTGTCCGTCTGTCTGCCTGTCTGTCTAGCTGTCCCTCTGTCTGTCTGTCAGTCTGTCCCACTTGGTTTTCCGCACTTTTTTTCCTAAATTCTTGCAGATATATAGCTGTTTGTTTGTTTTTTTTTTTTTTTTTTTTTTTTTGGGGGGGGGGGGGGGTATTTAAGTGTATATTAAAGATCAAGTTTGAATTTCGTTCCGCTTCATTGATTTTAAGGGAATTACGTCCTTTTTAATTTTTAAGGGATTTCCGCTTTTTTTCTTAACGCTTGCAGATATTGAGCTGATTTTTGGTATGTGAGTGTATCTTGATGAGTTACAGATCAAATTTGCATTGTGTTTCGCTTCAATGGATTTTTGACGGAATTATTATTTTTTAATTTTTAATGGGAACCAGACTACACTTGCCGGTAGGGGACTAGTATTACTAATGCAATACTCTCAGAATGCTTGTTCTTTCGGTATTTTAAAGATGTGCAGTAAGGTTTTGGATTTTTTTAACCTATAGAACTAATGAGGTTCCGAAAAAATCTTTTTCAGAGAGAGAGAGAGAGAGAGAGAGAGAGAGAGAGATGTACCATGGACTTCCCTTACATTTTACACAGTAGCCATTCATGGAATATCATTAATGATGTCCTGTAGATTTTAAAAAGAGTTTTCGTTTTGTTTATTTTTCACTTCGGGGACAAGTTAATGAAAACGTTGTTGTTTTCTTCAAAATTCTGGTTGCCAGAAGGTCCTGTAATTTACACAAGTAGCAAAATAATGTTTTTAAAATATAATGGCTGGTTTTTGTATATTTGCAAAAAGAATTTTGAATTAAACTTTACTACTTTTTGGGCTGATTGGGGATGTCGAAAAAGTTTTCTTACAAAATCCATACAAAACTCCTCTGAATTTAACACATTGACAACATCATCTATTAAAGTTTGATTTATTGTGTCTTGTAGTTTGTACAATATGTTCACTTACATAAAAACTGTAGCCATTTTTTGGAATATAACAGGAAGTGTCCTGCAGATATGAAATAAGGTTTTTTGATAATTCATTTTCAAGCACAAGTAGTCAATATTTTTCAGGGGGGGAAAACAATATGATTCCAAAAAATATGATCAAGTTTAGATTATCACCAAAATTAGTACTTGGATTTGAATCACAATTCATACGGTGTCTTTCGGAATACGTTTTGTTCTCGGCTATGTTAAGGAAGGAAATGGAAAATGCGATCTTAGTTCATTCTTAATACGTATTATTTTTAAAAATCTTTGTAACAAAGTAACTGTAAACATGTAGGAAAGGTAATATAGATATCCATAATGGATAGGTTTACTCAGTACCAGTTGCATCGCATGTATCACCTGTGTGTCACGTGACTTATATAAAAATAGAATCCTTCAACTGAATGTAGGAAATGATGCTAGTGCAAGGGCATACGCATGTTTTGGGAGAAAAAAAATGATACATATTAAAAAAGATTTACATCGGCTTCCCGAAAAGTGCTGGGAGCTAGTTCGAGCTGTTTCAGAAATACTCGTAATTTTGCCGAAAATGCGTATAATAGCTCAAAATTTCCATTTCGCTTAAATTCTGTCATGAATAAAAATAATGTTATGCCGAGCAGAATCAGCTCCAAGCACTTTTCAAAATATACATGATATAAGCAATCAATATTTCATATTTCAGCTCAAACAGTCTAGTCTATGCCCTTGCACTTTTGAGGTTAATCAGGTATACACTTATCGTGTTAGTGATATTCTTTACATTCTCTGTCGTTATGCAGCTCCATAGAGCCCAGATAAATTAATAATCTATATTATTGTTTTCAATAAATTATTTCCTTTTAATTTTATTGATTTGATTTTAAACATTGTCGATGATTTAATATGTATTCATTTTTGTAATTATTAAACCAATGGATCCACTCCTCTGGATCACTTGTACTGCGTCAAGTCAAGGCTAGTGACGTCATTTATGACACAAGATATGCTTGTTATAACTCGGCAGCATTGTTATCAAATGCTGTGATTTTACATGTTTTTATTAATAATTGATAAAATAAATAAACGTAAGTTGTTATTTACGCATTATCATGTGGTTAAATAGATTTTTGTCGCATGTTGAATTTTTAATGACGTCACAATGAAACTTCCCATACGGTGCATTACAGATGTGAACTCCGGCCTCCCTTAACGTAGCTGAGTTTAAAGTACAGTTATATAATGTGTCCCATAATCGCCCGGAGCTTATACAATCTTTCCAAAAATTAATTGCGATACATAATATAAAGGGTATAATTATTGAATGTTAGTTCATATTCACAAAAAGAAATACAGTGTTCTATGTAATCTGTTGAATATATATAATGTGGTTGGTTTGAATTACAACTCTCCGGGTTTATGTATTAAGTAAATTTGAGCACATGAATAAAATAGACCCTGTGCTGACAATAACAGTTATTTATAGGATAAAAATACATTTAGACGGATTATAATATATCATCATTATAATCAAAGGAAATAATTCCTAAACAATTGTTAAGTTACAAAAATATAATAAGCATGTATCTTTAAAAAAATGTTGAAATTTATATAGATGAAATAAATTACTTCAAGTATATTAAAGAGAATTTCTTTTATATTTATACATTTACTAAACATGTGAAATAAACAAAATCTCAAAATGCGAAAAATATATACACTTCTCACATATTAACACTTTAGATCCTGCTGGATGAAATATATGGAGATAACAAACAGTATTCAAGCTCAAAAGTCCATTAAACAATACAAATCAGGAGCAGAGCAAATACGGACCTCTATAACATGAGAGGTGTGATCAGATGCCATAAAGGAGTGAGCATGTCAAATTTGAGCATCTGCACTTGCTATTTGTAGATTGTGGTATTCCTTATGTGGAAGGAGCTGATATAAATAGTTCAGACAGATGGGATGCAATTGGGATCCGGAGACAGATGCATCTTAAATGTTACAAAGAATTTAAACAAACTGGATCAGGAATTCTCAGTTGTCCTACAAGTGGAATATGGACAGCGGATCTAAGATGTGGTACTTTCCAAATAATATTTAATGTTGATGCAAACAATACAGCCCCAGTAATTTTAAGTCTTTGAGACCAGTACTGTAAGTAAAGGAAAATATTGACCTGTAAAAGACAAGTCAAAAATCCAAACTTACAAATAATTCTCCTATTTTGAAATACTTTTGTGTATATTTCTAATCACAAATTCTCGCAGATTCTGAATGGATGATCTATGAAGACCACATATACTTACTGCTAGAATCGAATCTTACTTGGCATGAAGCCAAGGTAGGCTTTTGCATTGATCAATTTTCATGTCATCCACTTGTTTCACGTCAATATTATTTGATGTAAAGTTAACGTTTTGGAAAAAAAAACTTTGATGTTGTTCTTGTTGTATGCATTTTTGGTTGATACTATTTGTTGTTTTTTTTAAAGAATATTTTTTCCTTCTTGGAATATCCACTGCTTATTTATTTATTTTTTGGCACTAGAATATGTTATTTACAGGAAAAGTGTGAAGAATTTAAGGCATACTTGGCAGAAATAAACTCAGAGAGTGAAAATATTTGGATCACAGAAAAACTTTTGAGACCTTTCTTCGGAAAGCCGAGTGAGAAAATATGAATCTTATTCTATACGAATAAAATTTCTATTTAATTAACTCTGCATTTTCTTCTCAGAATGACATCACTTATTGCAAATTTTGAAACGCAAAGTATTAATCTTTGTTTATTAAATGGTATGGAAATACAAGGTTCTCCATATGATGTAGCATTAACACATTTGTCTTTCTGAATTCTGACAGCGGGAAAGAACGAATGGCTTTTTGTTTTATGGATTGGAGCCAATGATAAGAAACAAGCAAATCAGGAAAGAACTTTTTCATGGAGCAAGAGTAATACGCTACTTGATAATAATTCTTACACAAACTGGTACATAACTGAACCAAACAACGCTGGTAACAATGAGGATTGTGTCATTATATCACTGGATTTGAACGGAACATGGAACGACTGTCCATGCTCATGGCGGCGTCCTTTCGTTTGTGAAAAGGAACTGAAATCATTCACATGAAACTTAGCCTTTTCATTAAAGATTGCAGTTTTGTATTTTTTGTAATTTTATTATAAGCTTGGTCATGTTTAGATAGTCTGTCACGAAGTAAATAGGAAAGTATTGGAAACTCTGTTTTTGAAGTTAAGCAGCATTATCCACAAATTTATTTTTATATCCCCTGCCTGACAAGCAATAATTATTAACAAATGCATACTTTTGGATAAAAAGAGGATATTTTTACTGATGTATCTAATAAACCAAAGTATACATCTGTATATTGCAAGCATATTTTTCATTCTTGTTATTTTGTTGTGTGCATCTTTGGATTGCATTCATTGATGTATCGAGTGATAACATGCATATATGTTTAGATTGATCGATTGGTTGATTATTGTTTAACGTCCCTCTCGAGAATTTTTCACTCATATGGAGACGCCACCACTTGCCGGTGGAGAGCTACAAATTCTGACCTATGCTCGGCACTTACGGCCATTGAGCAGTGAGGCATCTTTTTCGTGCCAACACCTACTGCGACACGGAACCTCAGTTTATACGGTCTCATCTGAAGGACCAGTCTCCACGTCCCGCAGTGGGATTCGAACCCGCGACGTAAGGATCAACTCCTTACTTCGCGACTCTAGAGCAGACGCTCTATCCACTGCGCCACGCGGGCGACCATATATGTTTAGAAGCTCGGGCATAACTTGCCATTCATATTAAAATTTTGTCAGTTCTAGTTGAAATACAAGGGAATTATAGTGCTGTCTATCCTATTTAATCGCGTCCCTTATCCTTGACCTATTTGTTCTGGGACAGTTTACAAAACAGAATTGTTAGAAAGGTTCGTTATTTTTTAAATGATTCTGTATAAGTTTTTAGTTATTACAATAATTTTTTTGTGCTCAATAAATATACACTTTTTTCAATGGATGGCACTGTAGCTCTCTGGGCGTCTATCCCAATTCCTTTTCAGACCAGGGAGATACAAATATACAGCTAAATAAAATCAAGATTCCCTAATTCAATTTATAAAATCGGGGTGTTCAGATTGTGAATGGAAAAGAAAAGAATTTTTTTTTCTCCGACAAAAAGAACGTCTTATTGTTATACATTTATCCTCAGTCATTTTTAAACGTTAGAATATCTTTCGTTAGTCATGAGTTCTTGTTACATCTGAGCCATAGACAGAAAACTCTCTCTTCTTTAATATCCTTATTTTAAATGTAGGCATATGTATGATATGAAAAATTTAACTCGAATCAAAAGTTGAACTGTTCTCATAAAAGATTTCTACGGCAAACAATAGCTAGTCTTCCTTTGGAAAGACTCATTTAATAGATTCAGGAAAAAGACTTCTCATAGCAAAGTCTGGAAACAAGTGAATTGAAACTAGTTGAAGAAACCACCTGGAATAGTTGAATCCAAATTACTCTGATCCGATTAGGGTCTTCGAATGAAGAGCGGACTGATGATTTTTTTGAATTGAATTGTTTACAATTTTAGAAAATAAATTCTCATGATTCATTTAGAAACTTGTGTTTATTTTCTTAATAGGTCTTTTCATTGATTCGAGATCAGTTTCCCTAGGGAAAAAAAAAGGGAAAATATTAAGTGGAGGTAAATATATCCGATAGAGAATGTGAGATGGGGAGACAATATTAACAATATGTAAAAATGAGATGGCTGGACATTTTCAAAAAAACATATTCCTTCAAGCGACTTAAATTTGGAAGTGAAAAAATGCCTGAAACTACCTAGTCTAATTAAATTTACCCTTATGATTTTAACAATTCTGAATAATTGAGGGACTGACTGTCTGGATTTATATGTACTTTAAATAACTTTCATGAAGAATTATTTTCTTAATCGAATTACCAGTGAATTCATTTTATTGCCTGAATAATGATGCATGTAGCTTATGCTATTAATTTTTTTTTTTTTTTTTTTTTTTTTTTTTTTTTTTTTTTTTACATCTTACACATTGCTCGATTTGTAGGTTGAAATAGTGATTTCAACTTATATCTCAAGAATGCAATTAATTGATGGATTCGCAGTAGTTGTTTGCCGTCTGCGTTTCATATTAAATGCGTCCCTGAACCTGTGAAATAGAGTAGTTGAATAAATAAATTCCCAAAAATCTTGGTTATAGTACATTGTATTATTAGTCTTTGGGCATTCCATCAATACAGATAACGTCATCAAGCAAAAAAGTAGCTTACGTTGCGCATTGATGAAAAAGTTCCAAATTTTTGTTTGATACTTCTGTCAAAGAAAAAAATATTACTTTCATTTCTTATCATTTAATTATGATTTAAAAATAATAAAATGAAACTTTCTTTCACTTTGATATTTAATTCAGGCATCGGAGACAGTGCGTAGGAATACATCACAACAACGTTGCTGAAATTCAAAATGGCTGAATGTACAGATCTACGCGCATAGGATTGATGAAATTTTACGCCCAAGCTTTCTATGATACATCGATGAAAGAAAAAAAAAATAAAAGATTTATTTCTTATCATTTAAAATTTATCTTTCAATGATGAGATTTAACTTGAGAACGATCGAATGACTGTCCAACATATAGGCCTAGCTTAGTTGCCTAAATTTTCAGACGCCGAGTATCGAACAAACAACGCTTTCAAATATTGTCGTATCATTACTAGCTTTTTTCTAACAAAAACAGGTTTAACACTAAAACTTACCTATTGTATTATTAATTTTTGCTATATCCCAATGGTTATATTCCCCCAGGAAGCTAATTTCTTTAGGTTCGTAAATGTAAAGGGAAGCTACTCAAATATAACCTTAAGGAGGTTGGATCCTGCCATCAAAAGTAATGAGAATTTTTTATCATGTATGTTTTTAGAATTTATACACATAGCTAAATTAAAAATCAAAACAGAAGATGGGGGTCAATGCATTTCTTTTGGCTCTACAGAGCATTTAGTTTGACCTTTTTGCACTGTAAATACGTCTTACACATAAATCAATTTTTAAAGTTTTTCCTCTAATATTTTTTATTCAAATAAATTATGGGAACAAACACAGTTTTATTTCATCTTAAAAAGACACATTAAAATTTGTGACAACGAAAAAAATTTCAAATTACTCCGCACGTTCAATTATTTGACCTTTTTGCACTCAAAAAATTTCATTTTTCTGGCATTAAAAATTTAGCAAGCAAAAAAAATCATTTGAAAGTAATTACATTTTACTGAATTTAAAAAGAATGGTAAAAAGTATTTTATATATTCAGAAAATAAAATAAAAAGTGGGGGTCTGTGATGTTAATTTTTAGATATTATTAAAATAGTGCTAATTTTAAGCTTAAAATAGGGATATTTTTTTTCTTGATTTTCACAATATATTTGCTATATTTATCAAATATAATGATAGAATTCATGACAGTTTATTTGATATATAATTTAGGACCAGTATAAAACAGTTCACTACACAAAATAACACTGTGTGCAGACTGCATGTAAAAATAGGAGTCCAAACTGAACATACTTTAAATACTTCGAAAGAGAAAAAATGATCATTTTCTTCTAAAAAACCTTCCGGCACAAAATATAGTTCCTCACTTAATCCTTTTGGTATGGAATTTTATCATGAAGTTTTAACTGAATATAGTTTAATTGGCATTGTAGAATTCAAATTTATTGTAAGAATTAAAATTTTATGCAGAATTTTTGAAATATAGGTTAAGATATAAATCTGCTCAAACGCTCAGGAGCGAACCTCGTTAACAACTCTTTCTAGGTCACAGAAATTTTTGGTTTCATATGCGCATCTCTTCATCCTAATTTCAAATCGAACATATATATACGTATTCACAGCATGTCCATGCATAAAACAACATACTTCAAAATCTGTAAAAGTCTGTTGCCGACTGTTTAACTTTGAAAGAATATCCGTCCTTGCTCAGCGTCGTTTTTCTCATGCATTCGTTTCCTACGAATTAACAGATTAACGGCATTTCCTCGCTTTGGTAGCATAAAAACATTTCTTCACAGTTCTATTGTTCATACCAGTTATCTCAAACACAAACATTTAACATACGTATGATGATTTCTTTCCTTTTTTCCCGCAACTGCATTGTTGTCATTTGCAGACGATCTGATTTGTTTAGCAAAGGGGGATAACTCGAAAAGAAACGAAAGTAGAAAATAGCTCAGGAACGTACAACGGACAAATTTTGAAATTCAGGAAGAGTAAAAGTATTTCATTTTTCATATTACAAAGTAATATGGAAGCGGGAAATATACATGTAAAGTTAGCCAAAGTAGTTCCGCCTGCCAAGTGCAAGTGAACTCCAGATTCTATTGATGCAGCTATCAAAAGAATTTTTTATCAAATCAGTATCAATTATTTTATAGAAATTAAATAATAATAGTAACAGTTTCAATGTAGTGAAAACAAGATTAATAATTACAAAGTTTCAAGAAACATCTTTCTTTTCAATGTGTTAAACATTGAAATCAATTTTCTTCAAGAAAGCATTCCTCTAAGTGGCAATATTTTAAAATTCATGATTGTTTTGAAAAGTAGTGCTTAGTTACAAATTACGTTTAATCATGGTGATTGCATGAAGGAATTGATTTAATAAAATAGAATTAAAAAAACTACTTGAAAATCGTCAAGATCTAATTAAAACGAATAGTCATTCCTTCAAGAAGAAAACAAAAAAATATATATTTTTGATAATAATTAGTTACTGAGAGATTAAAATTGACTGAAAGGATTAAAACTGAATGAAGTTCATTTATCTAGTGGTTTTAATGA